TAAAAGGCTTACTATCTATTATAAGCTTTTATGATTATTTTAGCGATTGTACAGTATTATAAATGACACAAAGTACATTACTGCAATTAAACAACATAAAGCCGACCTCTATTTGTTATTGCCTATTTAGTTAAGTTCAGCAATTCCTTGCCGTGCCACTAGGGTTCATAAGGCTGGAGTCTATTCGCAGTTTCTGTAGCGTGAAGTGGATGAGAGTGTAGTACTCACCCTGGGTGGGACGCTGGTCCACCACAGAGGCTACTCCCAGCAATTTGCTACCCATTTATACAACTGGGTAGACTAAAGCAATTTACACAAGGTGCCTTTCTTAAGGACATATATGCGAAATGTACGTCAGCAAAGGAGGTTGAGGAACCAAACCATTTCCAGTGCGCCAAAGCTTTCACTGTTTGTCATACTGGGCCTACATTAATTTTATATTTATTGCTGCGAAGCAGCCAATTCATATTCTTGACAGCAATTTGACCTCTGAAAGGTCATTGTTTGTCAAAAAACAAGGGCCTAAGACGACTGAAAAGCGGAGTTTTCTTCTTTCGTTCTGCCGGGTAAAATACTTTAGGCGACGTTTGTAGACTAACCTACACCATGGAGGAAATATATTAAGATATTAATATACTTCCTCCATGCCTACACCATGGAGGTATAAAAATTATACCTCCATGCCTACACGTACCAACGTCCGCATGTCGCGCTAGCCTTATCCAGGTCTAGACTAACTAGGATGGTATAGGCCTAGCCTTGATGGGACGAAGGTCCCAATGAAAAACAACGTCACTCCTTGATAGCTAACGTTTGTCTATTTAACGTCACAATAATTCATTATTAGACCTATACAGTAGTTGTTTTTTGAATTGTACTCCACAAATCTCAGCCGATACCTCGCACAACTCGTTAACGTCTCGTATCTATTGTCGTGACGTCAAGGCTCACTGGCTCACGCTTGCGATGTCTCGCACTTGTGATCAAATAACACGCTGGCTCGCACTTTGGCAACACTCTTTGGCAGTCAACTCGCCCCTGGAAACTTGCCCCATAAAAAAATGTACACTTCCTAGACCATGCAATCTTCAAAATAAAAAATGTAACCTTTGATAATCAACTACATTTTCCACATACATAGAAATTTTTGAAACTTTATTAAAAAAAACCTAAACCATAATTCACCACTATAGACACTTTTTGACAAAAATGAAAAATAACGACTTTGTTACCCAATGAGAAGTGTTCTAATATAGACAATGGGTCGTGTCTCATATTATTTGTTATATTTTTATTATACATTATTTTCACTTGATTCGCATAAATAATTTTGTTCGAAGAACATTTATATGCAGTTGTACTTCGCAGCACTTCACTTGCAATTTGCAATTTCTAGTCTAAAATCTTATCCACTGTATAACGTTTACAACTTTTAATCCCTACGCATTAGACCTTTTCCGCTAAGTCCTGTCCATGGATATTAATTGTTACGAAGGTTCCACAAAAACATTAGCGTAAATGTAGGCCTACGTAAACATGTGCGTTTGTCAGACACATGCATATTCCTGGCCTTATTCTGATCCGGGTCAGTTGTTAAGTTTAATTGGCACTCCAGAAAGATCCATTGTACGGAAGCCCGTTAGTGTCACCAGTGAATTAAAATTTCAGATCCATTATGTGGCGGCCGCCAGATAATTACGTGGCGGCCGAAATTATCCAGCAAATACAAGACCTTATTATAACATTCACATGAGTTTTGAACGTTGCATTTAGGTAATGTCAGAATTTTTCATACCTTTACCTTCATTTTACAAAACAAAAGTTACCATGCATAAAGTTCAAATAAGTCATGGTTATATAATTATAAAAATGTCAATTGTGAGTTCAATGAAGTTCTATTTTCTCACAATGTGAGCAGCAACTTTGACCTCAAACATCAATTAATCAATTTTTTATTTTAAACAAATTTCCATATAAAAGTAAATAGAACACCACCCTCTTTATATGCAGTTGTACTTCGCAGCACTTCACTTGCAATTTGCAATTTCTAGTCTAAAATCTTATCCACTGTATAACGTTATAACTTTTAATCCCCTACGCATTAGACCTTTTCCGCTAAGTCCTGTCCATGGATATTAATTATTACGAAGGTTCCACAAAAACAATAGCGTAAATGTAGGCCTACGTAAACACGTGCGTTTGTCGGACACATGCATATTCCTGGCCTTATTCTGATAGGTCAGTTGTTAAGTTTAATTGACACTCCGGAAAGATCCATTGTACGGAAGCCCGTTAGTGTCACCAGTGAATTAAAATTTCAGATCCATTATGTGGCGGCCGCCAGATAATTATGTGGCGGCCGAAATTATCCAGCAAATACAAGACCTTATTATAACATTCACATGAGTTTTGAACGTTGCATTTAGGTAATGTCAGAATTTTTCATACCTTTACCTTCATTTTACAAAACAAAAGTTACCATGCATAAATTTCAAATAAGTCATGGTTATATAATTATAAAAATGTCAATTGTGAGTTCAATGAAGTTCTATTTTCTCACAATGTGAGCAGCAACTTTGACCTCAAACATCAATTAATCAATTTTTTATTTTAAACAAATTTCCATATAAAAGTAAATAGAACACCACCCTCCCCCATCTCTCCTAACCCCACCCCCAAAAAACAGAAAAATTCTTGGACCATATAATATGAAGTACGGTAGTTTTCTCCACCTACTGTGCATCTTAGAATTATAAACACTGCTACTGGTCAGTAATACGTTCTATGAATTTATATACTGACTTTTGCACATACTTGTACTGCTACGCCATACTCACCAAACATAGCAATTTGAGTTGAAAATATCTATCTTCTTAAGATTATGTTACATTTTGCTTCCTTCACCAATTGTACATTCATGTTAATAAAGAAGAAGTACAACACAGTAGCTCTTAATTCAAATCAAACAACAATTGCTGACCTACCATTCAAGGGCGTCGATCCGTGGTTAAAAGTGTGGGGGTGGACAAAATGAAAAATAAAGCCTCGGGCCGTAAGCCCAAGCCTTAGGTTTGGGACCAGGGGGGCGAAGCACCCGGAAGCTCTGGCGCCTATAACCTTTTAATTGTTTTTAAGCAATGCAATTAACATTTATTTCCATACGGAATTTTCAAAATATCCAGTGAGGGATTCAATAATTTAAAATAGAGCTGGGCCCAGAGAGGGACTTTTGCAGATGGAGAGTGTAGACCACCTCAGCCCCATCATGGTCGGGGCTGAGGTAAGAAAATTTATGATTATGGCACCTCTAGTTGGTCGGAAATCGCACTCTCAGACTGAATTTGAATATAATTTTCATTTTCTCCACTTTTAAATTTCGAAAGAAGAAAAAATTAGGGATGGTGGGCCGGCTAAGCCCCTTGAATCTGCTACTCAAATACTCATCATAAAAGTTTTTAAAATTATCCCTTTAGTCATAATTATGCCCGCTTATATATTTCGTGCAAAAACATTCATAACAATAATGATTTATTATCTACTGATTAGCTTGTGACGTATTCAAAATTTTAACCATGAAAAAAACAAATAACAAACTTAAGCAGTCATTGATTTAGTCTTTTTGCATGTACAGTACTTTTAAAATCAATTAAGAGGTTTTTGCTTTTCTCCTCTTTTTGAATTTCACTTTTGTGTAAGCAATATTGCGACTACACTTTTGTGAGTGGAAATAATACCGTCTAATTTACGATCAAACAGGACTATGGAGATAGGGAGCACACAAAATATTAGTTAGCATTTTGATTTCACAAACATAAACGTGATTTACTTAATTTATCATTATCAGTGGCGGATCCAGGAAGAAAGCAAAATAGTGGGGCAGGGAGGGACTTGCACAATTCGGGAGAGTAGATCACCTCAACCCTACCATGGTTGGGGCTGAGGAAAGAAAATTTATGATTATGACACCTTTAGATTGCCGGAAATGGCACTCTCAGACCTAAATTCTAATTATAATTTTTCTTTTTTCCCCATTTTTTTTTTATAATTTTGAAAAATTTAGGGAGGCTGGTCGGCTCGGTACGGCCCTAATTGAATCCGCCACTGATTATTATGACGTCATTGCGAGATTGCGTCAACGTAACACTAGCGTTTTTAAACTTGTGGTATCACCGTACTTAAATAAATTTAAATAAATAGCCCTGTCCGAGCCAAAGGCTGTATAATTTTTTTTTTAATAAAGGCTACATAAAATTCAATTGACTAACTACAATTTTTTGACATTAGGAAAACCAGTAATCTATGTAGACCCTGTCTCTTATACACATCTTCAAAACTCTTACCTTTAGATTGCCGGAAATGGCACTCTCAGACCTAAATTCTAATTCTAATTTTTCTTTTTTCCCCATTTTTTTTTTATAATTTTGAAAAATTTAGGGAGGCTGGTTGGCTCGGTCCGGCCCTACTTGAATCCGCCACTGATTATTATGACGTCATTGCGTCAACGAACACTGGAGTTTGTAAAATTTTGGTATCACTAAATCGAAATAGATAGACATGTCCGTGTCAAAGGCTGTATAATTATTATTTAATAATGGCTATATAAAATTCAACTAACTAACTATATTTTTTTGAAATTAGGAAAAACAGTAATCCTATGTATGTAGATAATATTAAACACTAGTATATACGTACGGGTCATAATAATATACAAAAGGAATAAATCGTTTATAGTAGAAATTGTGCCCTTTTGAGTTTGTAAAAATATTGGCCTGATAAGCATACACGCTTCCAATTTTAACAACGTTTAGTACATTGTTTTCACAATAAATTTAGCCAACCGCTGCACCCATAAAATCGATCTAGTGGTTTCTGAGATGGTTACGAAATGTATAAACAATTGCGTTTTTACTCGGTTTTGATCCGCAAAATACGTACCGCACTTGGAAAACTGAACAGACAAAATTCATGAGTCATGCGTAATTGTTATTCTTTCCATTCGCTTTTAAAAGTGGGATTTTATTTAAAGATGATTGGTGAAAAGTGGGGGGGGGGGGCAAACGATATGATGTCCCCTACTTTGAAAAGTCCCCACCGATCGACGCCCATGCTACCATTTATTAGCTATTGTCTACTTAATGTCTATTTTCACATGTTTTGAAGATAATATTTAGACCTATATAGTTAAACACTTAATAAATGGTACAATTTGCTTCTTAAGCTTTTACAGTCTCATATACATCTACCTCATAATTTGCGTAAACATCAGAGTCGAAATTCCTTGTGGACGTAGTTCTTGGACCATCTTTTGGCTTGTTCATCCATGGCTTTTTGAATGTGACTAAAATTATGGCAATTGCAAAAATGACAACCAAAGGCACCACTGTTGCGGTAATAATGATGGCATTCGATTTTCTGTCATCGTTCAATGATGTGTTATCCGGATATATGTTGATGTCATCAACAGCAATTACTCCTAAACTTGATGGTCCAAGTACTGCTTCAAATAAGATCTAAAAATGACAAAATCAAAAACAGTTTATATATATTTTACACGAAACAACTCATCATTCAACTTTCTCACCAAAGTAATGTAATAGCATACACATGAAGTTCAACTTTTTTTTCTTCAGAGAACAACAATAAACAGAAGCCATTATATTTTAACAACAAATATAAATTAAACATTTACCGCAAACATTGTCATTGACGGGTTCACTTCCATTAGGTTAATCTGTTCCCATCCTTGTGTAGTTCCATTTTTTCCCCAAATCAGTTTCTTTTTATCGTGATTCCATCCTTCTTGAATAAAAACCCGCAAGTTTAGCTGTGGGTCGAAGTTCATATGAACGCTAAAACCGACGCTGATACTTCCATTGTAGTTAATGGGTGGTGTTTGAATACATGCTTTGTCTTCTTCACCACCTTCAACATACATGTAGGTAGAAGAATCTAAAAATTACAAGTAAAAGGTATTATAGAGGTAGGCTATTGCATTCAGTCACTGTCAACATAGC